GGGGGGGGGGATGGGGAGGGTTATGGAGTTAAACTGGGCGTTCACACATTTTCCATTTTTTGTCAGGGCAGGTAGCCAATCTTGTTGGGTTTCCTATATGCCCCCCTTTTTCTAGAACTCAACACTGTAAGTACAAGAGTATCTCACTGCAGGAGAGGGCGCACCAACATAACAGGACAAGGACAAGGCACTATTGAAGCCCTGTGTAGAGATGAAGAGGAGTTGGGCTGGCACAGAGATGTTGGTTAAGGACAGACAGGAATGGAGATCACTTGTTGCTGGTTTTAAGTGTTACACTAGCAAGTAAGCAATCAGGGCAGTTTGGTCTGCAGCAGCCTGCATGTAGATGCCTACTGTAGTCGAAACTCCGGTTGTGACCACCCCTTGTAAGCGACCACCTCTCCTCAGTGGCCAGTTTTCCAAAATAACAAAAGCTTCCAAGTCAAATCACTATATTTGGAACCTCTTGCAAGTGACCACCTCTTGTAAGCGACCGTGGCCACTTTTAGAACTAAAAGTTTCAAATTTTCTTTTGTTTTAAACCTCCCGTGAGTGACCACTTGGCAGATAATAGAGCGTAAATTGAATAGCAAGGCGTTGTAACCATATCGCATTCCCTGGTAGTACAAGAGACGGAAATTTCTCAATGGGAAGTACCAGATTTTTTCTCGAAAATTGACTTATAATATCAATAAAACACTTCAAACATGGGTACATCTCTGCAGTTACCATTTACTAATTTGGCAAAATTTTGACCCTGGCTGGTTCACAAGCTAGGTTTGCAGGTAACTGTTAATCAAGTAGTTCCTCTCACATGCTAGGCCCAGGTAACAAGTGCAAATGAAGGGTCTGCTGTCCCTGATACAGGGCTCACCTTTAAAATAATCCCAAGAAGATTTTTCATAATCATACATTTCCATGTTACGTGGCAGTTTACATGAGAAATCTTAAAGTTGGCTAAGAAGCAGGTTCATACCATTGAAGAAGGGTTGACCCCGAAGGTGAGCCAAAATGATAAATCAACATTTTGGCTATTTTAATTTCACCTACAAGAGACAAGTCAAGACATATGTAGCATGCATGAACAGGAAAGGCCCAAGTTACCTCTCACTGAGCAGATATGTTTTTTTCATACACATGTTAACACTGTGTAAAAAATACTTGAGGGAGTGGGTGACTCTCATGGACAACTTTTCTACATTTAAAAAGGACCTAACCATGCCCTTCTTGAATTACAGCCTACCACATCTGTATCCATGGCAACAGCTCAAGAGGGTCCCAGCCCTGTGTGCTCAGTCTATTCTGCCAACCAATTAGTTCTCCTTTTTAAATCCCAAGCATTTCATATTTTTTTCAATCTCAACAAAACTTCAGAGAAAATAGAGGATATATGAACAGACTACAGTTGTTGTTTACTAACCTCATTGCAGATTGTTGTTTTCTTTTAATTTCATCGTCATCATTATCATCATCATCATTATCTGCCTTTCTTTTCATTAGTTTATTTCGCACATTATCTCGCATGTGTGAGTCAAAATCTTGTTCATCGATATTCTACAAATAAAATACAAATGTACACTTAGGAAATAATCCAGAGTTACTATTAACATGTCTAGAACTAGATTACTATGAAAGTGCAGCAAACCAATAAAGTTTTAATAAAAAAAAATTGGTAAAACTTGTTGAATTTGCTATTGAGTTGACTAAATAACAAATAGTGTGAAGAGAGTCACAAACTGGTATCAACTTGGTGACAGGTTCATTGCAACTATTTTAATTTGCACCCTCTTAAACCTGCAATGTAACCTTTTTTCCTTGATTAACCACCAGTGTTCTTTTTTCAAATTTCAAGCCTGTTTCTCTTGTCAATCTCAATGTCTCAAAAAACAAACAATTTTCCAGTTATCCTGAGTTGTTGTTGGGTCTACTGTATAACTTCAAAAAAGAATGAAATATGGAAGCTAGATCTATCTAAAGACAGTCCTGGGTCATATGACCTGACACTGAAAAGGGATTTGCTCATGTCAAACTGCAGCCACCCTCCCCTCTCTAATGCATACCTTCTCATCACTGTCATCATCTGAATCCACAGGCTTAGCTTTCTTCTTGTCCTAAACAGATATAAACAGATAACACATAGTGTCACTACATGGATGTGATTTTTATAATTTAACAACAGAGACCTTTTGATCCAGACCTGCCCACTGCAAAAACGTCCATCTGAAGTGCTGTACTAGCTACTAGGAAATCGAGAATTTGTGGTCATTGCTAAGAAAGACGCTTAGAATTGTCAGCAGGTTTCTTGTTTAAGGCATACATCTCTTTATAAATCAAATACATGTCATTCGGAGAGCTTGCAAATAGATCACCTAACCGTAAGTCTAATATGTTGCTTGGCAATTGATAATTTGACGTAAATAGTCCAGAATAACATCAAAACTGAACAGTTTTCCCCCTGACTAATGGCAAATCACAATTCAGTTATTATCAGTCAATATATTATTTTTCAATAACTCTTATAGCATACCTAGCAAAGCTGCAATGTCAAACTTAGTATGTGTATGAGTGCATCAAAATCCAACACCCACGATGTGAGCAAAGTTAACTTTGCTTCAGCAGAGAAAATTATTTCCATTGGCAATGTTATAATTCATGCCCTTAGTTGTGCTGTGCATCATTGAGTTATGATGCACTTGGGAAGTTTGGAGAGCACTCAAGAAGGTAGAGTTGCTCTCAGCTGCACCACAAGCAACTATTATCTTGTGTACTTAAGTCATCTGTCGGCCAAGTATTGACAGACACTATCGGTCCACTGAGTGTTGGTCAACTTATTGGCCAATACTAGGTTATGTCGACTTACACTCTGTTGACATGTCGATTGACATTGGTTGCCTCATTATGGACATGCAAGTCAGACAATATTTGGTCAATACTTTACCGGCACTCAGCCAACACTACTCTCATGAAATGATGGCTATTTGAGCTGTATCCTTGCTCAATCAATATTTGGGCATGGAGACTCTTCTGTCACATCCCCTGTTGGTAAGGGCAAGGGGCTAGGAGGGCTGCCATTTCAGCAAAAAAACGGTTAACAATACACATTTAGAAAACAGTCCTAAGAAATTGAGCATGCTGATTGGTTAAAAATTGTGTTCTATAACTTGATAGAAACACAGAACTAGCACGAGCTGTTGACGCAATGATGGCACAAGTAAAGAGAATTTACATTTTGGTAATCAAAGTTAACAAGCTGTTTTACTTTTTTGTTGTGGTGTTTTCTAAAAGAAATAGAAAACATGTTCTCCGTGTTTCTATCGAGTTACAGCAACACTCGTGAAAGTTTGGGAGAACTTGAAAACACTGGAAACACTCGTCTGCGGCTTGTGTTCCCACAGCATTTCTTGTTCTCCCAAACTTCCAATCTTGTTGACTCGATAGATACACGGTACACGTTTTCTATTTCTTAAATAACAGTGACACTCAACCGATACACCACCGACAGTTGAGCAATGGTATACCAAGTTGAACAACATGGAGACCGACACTTGGCTAACTCTCGGTCAACATATTGACCAAGTGTTGGCCAATATATCGACTTACACTCAGTTGAGATGTCAACTGATAGTATCCACTGATACTCAACTGACAGTACACAAGATGTTCGCAATATCCAACAACTCTTATGTTTCTCTTGTGGTCTCCAAACTTCTTAAACGTATTATCACTTGATGATGCACTCTAAACTATGAATCAGTTGTTAACTGAAAAGCATTGCCATTTGAAAAATGCTGTGCTTTTCAGTGAGCTCATGTATGGATTATATTCATTTGTACTCCCCCCTGGATGGGATGCTAGTCCATTGTAGGGTTACCCCACCCTGGTATTAAATTCAAATTCAGTAGGAGTGAGCAAAAAACTCATAAGATGCGTAACACTGCTGATAAATTAGATACTGTATAAGGCTCAAAAGGCTCTTACAAGTGTCAAATATTCGCTGGTAATCTAAATGTTTGGGGCTTAGCACTTCTTCCACCTACTGAAGAGCTAAGCCTGAAATGTTTAGACTACCAGTGAATATTTGACACTTTTAAGAGCCTTTTGAGCCTTATATCTGGTATTAAATTTGTCAGTACCCATTTATACACCTCAGCAGAGAGAGAAAGAGGGAGGCACTGTGAGAGTTAGTTGTCTTGCCCAAGAACACTACATGGTGACCCCACACAGCAAGGCTTAAACCAAGAGACAGCTTGATCTGGAGTGTAGTTCGCTTACCACAGGGCCACCATAGACACTAATGGAGAGAGGAAAAGTGTATCTACCAACACTAAGGACATGGTTTGTGGTGCTGATTTCTTATTTATTGTTACTTTTCCTTTGTCATACAAAAAGGATTTGAAAAAAATACCAAACTATGAACATATTAGAGTAATATTATTACAAAATTACTGCTTTTGTACCTTTGAAGTATGATAATTTACAAAAAATGCAAAAGATTGAATTACAAGGACAACATTTAAGATAATGCTTATTAAGAAATCAATAATTAATAAATAAAGTACAAAGTGTCATTTTCATCATCATTCAATTGCACGGACACTGCAGTGTAGGTCCTAAGGTATTCAAATGTAGAAGGAACAGGGGGTCATCTTAGCCATGGATGAGATGGCCCAACTTTGATCACATGTATTGGACAACCCTCAAATTTCTTGCTCCAAGAAAGAAAAGCAGGAAGGAGGCAAAGAAATTTTTTTAGGGGGTAGAGCTTCTTCCTAGGCCCACCACTGCAATTTACCTGTCACTGAAGTTAAAAAATATCTGATTACATGCTGGTAAATAGATCTTTGAAACCTTCAAATCTTGATATATTTGATAAACTGACGGAATTATTTTTAAATGCATTAATATGTACCACAGCATGCTAATAAAGTAGCCATTGGTTTAGGACATAGTTAAAACTCCCTCCAGTGTTTAGCCATGTTACAATTATTCAAATGAAGATTTATAATTTTGTCAGTAAAATAATTAATAACAAAAGCTACTGAAGGATGTGTCTAATGAGCAGATATTTACTGTTCATTAGATGCAACAGTATGAACAGACTGCAAAGTGTTATCAGTATTGTTGGCCAGTTTAACTACCTCAGCCAACTCCTCTCTATGCTCTCCTGCATATTCACTGATAGAATCTTTGATAAAGTCCACCACCAACTTTCCTGGTAAGGCATTACCTAAATTAAACTGAGAGTGTGTTTCCAAGGCATCATACAGTTTTAATGTCAGTAATTCCATTGGAGTCCGACGAGTCGTTGGGTCCTGGTAATAATCACTTACTGATCTATCCTGTAGTTTGACATAATCTGGCAAATCAGAAATGACATGGGTTTGCAATGATTCGCGTATATTTTCAATAGTTTGCCTTTCTTCCAATGTTAAAATCTCTTTGAAATGCTTCTGTGTTGCAACACCAGTCACCTTTAGTTGACCATTGACCCAGCACAACACTGGTCCACCTGAATTGCCAGAGTTTAGTGAACAATTCAATACAATCATTGAATGACCTGCTAAGGTGCTCTTGGAACCAGAGACATTGCCACTCACAAAGAGAGCTGTTTCTTCTGTGTGACTCACGGGATAACCAAAAGCAAAAACTGACATGCCTGGTAGTAATGACTGGTTAGATAACTGCAATGGACAAATTCCACACTGCTCTAGATTAAGATCTTGACAATAAAGTAATGCCAAATCTTTCCCTGGATCATAGTGAATGACTGTGCAGGGCAGAACATAAATTGCTGCATTTGAAATGCAAATTTCATGCCCCCCAGTATCATTCAAATGGGTTTCAATCACATGCCTGTTAGTGATTATGAAATGATTATGAATGATAAATCCTGAGCCCTGATCAATTCCAATATTTCTGGTGGCCTCTTCATACTCTTTTTCAATCCTAGCCCTTTCCTTATCAACCTTTTCCTTCCTTTCATCATATCCTGGCTCTTGCTTGTTTGGATACTTACATGCATCTAGGAATGTTTTGGTATCGAAATGATCAATTGCCTTTTTAATATCAAAAATGTCATAGGTCTGGTCACTTTCATCTTTCTCCTTCTCGGGAAATATTTCTGTATCCCACATGAGGGTACCTGCAAAGCAATCCCTCACTTGACGCTCTGCCTCACTCAGGGAATATTGACGTAGACTGTTATCACCAACTTCATGGTAATAACAGTAAAATGGTACATGGCTTTTGGCTTTCTGATATTCTTCTTCCAATTTTTCCCTGTGTTCATCAATTAACTTTTTCAACTCATCAGATCCAGGCCCTTCTTCTGGATACTGTTGAAGCAGTTTTTTCCCACCAAATTGAAGAAATGCTTTGTGAATGTAGAAAATGTCATAATTACTCTGAATTGACTTGCCACTTGCATCTACTTCGCGAGGAAAGAAATTTAAATCTGATTTGCCTGGATAGTCAAAACTACAGTCACTCAGGCGTTGTATTGCGTCATGGGAAGAATATTTATGAAGTGTATGTTTTGCATCAGCATTGGCAGCAGTTTCATACTCTTTTACTAAAGCCTCTCTTTTTTCATCCGCTTTTTTTCGTTGTTCATCCCAAAACCAAAAAGCATTGTAAATGTCAATAATTGTGAACGATTTTTTCATTTCTGAATTCGATAGTGCATGAAAGAGTGTAAATCGATCCCCTGGAAAGTTTCCAGCAAAGCAATCCCTCACTCGGCGCTGTGCAACAACCCAGGAATATCTGAGTCGACCATCTGGGTCAGCCATGGCTTCCCTGTACTCTCTTTCAACATCAGCTCTTCGTTCATCAATTAAGACTCTCAGTTTGTAAGATCCAGGGCCTTCCTTTGGGTATTTTTCAACACATCTCCTTTCATCAAATCCAACCAGTACATCGTGGATATCATCAATATTGTATGTACTGTTCGTTAGAGGATTTCCCGACCTGTCCATTTCAGTAGGAAGCAAGAGCTGTTGAAAATGTTTAGAACGCCATTGAAAGTCCTGGTTATGATAGTGAGATGGATACTGACCCACATAACAACCGCACAATCGGTTCACTGCTGTCTTCCAGTCATATCTCCGTG